ATCTGAATCTCTAGCATCCATTGCTTTTGAAACAAAATGGGTATAAATTGATTAATAGCTTAATTAATTAAGTAACGTCTTCAATAGTTTTTTTTAATTAATGTAGAAGGGTAAAAATAATATAGAAAAACATATATAAACACTCGTAATGACAAGTTTTACAACTTTCATGAGGAGCTTAACTTTGAAATTCGTTACTATAATCATATAAATCATAGATAAAAATTTAATCGTTGATTGTTGCTTACACTTCTACAATAATTATTATTAATTTTATTAATTTTGCCCTCAAATAAAAAGCATTATTCATTAGGGTTTGGAGAATTTTAAAATCTAAACGATAATGTAAGTGTAATCATTATCTATTCGTAGAGGAACAATGATGAATCACGAGTATTTTTATATTCTTTCACATTTTTCATACTTGTATGTATGTCTTCTTAGTTCTTGCCTGTACAAATACTATTCTAGTTTATTTTAATTTTGGACAACAACATGTTAAGTAAAATTTATCCTAGTAATGATAATAAGGAACTCTCATAATAAAAATAAATAATGACTAATTTTTTTTTTTAATATTTTAACTTATATAGAATAATAATACAAAACTATATATTTAATATAGAATATATTGTATATATTAATATGGCTATTGTATTTATAATAAATCTTTTAGTAATTAAACTTTAAAATTATCAAAATAGTTTTTTTCTTAACGGGTTGAAACGGTTTACCCACGTGTTACCCGTGTGTATACCCGTTAAGAACCCGTTAATAATGGGTTCTTAACGGATCACCCAATAATGACCTGATTAGTTATCGTGTTGACCTGAAACCCATTATTTTCATGTCGTTTTCGTGTCGTGTCAGAAACTACCGGGTCTACCTTTGGGCAACGACATAACCTTCGTCGTGTGCTGTGTTTTATATAAATACTATTCATTTAACCTTTATTATCAAATAAAGAAAATAAATACTTAAAAGAAAATATTTAAAGTAAGCTACATCAAATTAAGCAAATACACTATTTAAAGTAGAAATTTAATCCGGCTAAAACAAAAAGCAAATATTTAAAACGTCCATAAAAGTTAAATAAAATATTATTAGACTCTAAATACAAATTAAGAAAATATTGAAAGCATCCATAAAAGTTAAATAAAATATTATTATACTCTAAATACAAATTAAGAAAATATTGAAAGCATCCATAAAAGTTTAATAAAATATTATTATATTATTCCAACTAAATAGCTACAGCAGTGGTGGTGCCTATGCATCTTGATCGGCGTAATGCTTTGCCTCCCGTGTAGGGGTGGGCACGGTGCGGTTCAGTGCGGTTGCACCCATAAATTGGAACCGAAACCGAAATATATTAACGGTTCGATTCGGTGCGTTTTCACTTAAATTTATTACTAGAATATTATGGTTCGGTCTACACCGGTTCCGATTCGGTTCTTGCTGGTTTACGGTTCCTAATAATAAATTATTTGAACACCAAATCATTATGCATTCAAATACATCTTCTAAAACTGATTACATAAAATTGCATACAACACATCTTTTTTAATGCAAATGTCTTTGTTAGTGGCACCAAGTCAACAAAAAGAGACAACTAAAATACATATGCACTGGTCAATCAGTCAACAAACAAAAAAATGATGAAGCAAATTGCAGGTTTTCAGACTTCAGAGAGCAAGCAAGAAGCAGCAACTCCTGTACACAATTTTTCAACCTATTTTTCAACCTATTATACCATGACATGTGTGTGTATATATAATTTATTTATTTATTATTAATAAAACGGTTCGGTTCGGTTCGGCCGGTTCTTGGTCATTCGAAACTGGAACCGGAACCGGTTTGAATGGTTCGGTTCGGTTTTTCACTCAAAGTTGACTTTTCCGATCAACACGGTTTTTTTCGATTTTTTTTCTTACGGTTCGATGCGGTTTTGCGGTTTGGCGGTTTTATGCCCACCCCTAATCCCGTGCCTCTTGAAGATGTCATCGATGTACTCATCATGTTATTATCAGATCATTAATAATAAAGTTCACCTGTTAAGAACAAAACTATTAAAATATTAATAATCATAATAGTTGTTGGAAATTGTTATTGGCACTTTTAAATTCTCATTTTGCAATTCAAGCTTTCTATATTTAGAAATAAAAATACACTTGTAGAGAGTGTAGAATGAAATTTTTAAAGTGCCAATACCAGTTCCCTAGTTATTGTATAAAAGTACTTATTAGATTACTAATTGACACTTACTGATATCTCATTCAACAAAGATTTCTTCATCTTCTCTAACACTTTTTTCCAAGACGACCACTCTATAGGACTTTTGTTCAGTACTAGCAACCATGCCGTGCACAAGAATGGAATGTGACTTCTCTCAGATTTCGTTTTCCGCATGGAACCACGGTTGATGTGCCTTCATTGATCATTCATCAGTTGTATGGCCTTGCAAGACAGTCTCTTTTTGTTGTTCCTTAAGGAAAAACAAAATTGTTCAAAACCAAACTTAAAATTCTACTAAAAAATCGGCATAACCTCCCCTAAAAAGGAAAAATTTCCCATAACCTAAAAAACTTTGATATTCATATTGTCCATATCCAACCAAGATTTACAACAACAAACTAAATAAATTAATCAACTTTTATTATAGTAATACGATAAATTTTTGCAAAACAAAACAACTGTAAAATTCATTACGAAATTGTGTATTACCTATCCAAAATCCTTCTCCCTTACGTGTCACAATAGCTCCACTGTCAGATGCCTGGATAAATAGCTTGAGCAATAGCATAATCGGACAAACGTGATCATAGAAAAGGTAATCTGCTGAATTCTTTTCTATATACGATAAAGCTAGGGTTACAAATATATAAGGAGGCTGTGCAATCATAGTCCTACACTGATGCCTATAAACAAGGACAATCAGACTAAATAAGTAAGTGAATAACTACATATCAAATTACAATATTGACATAATCAATCTGAGATATCTTCCTTAACACTCCCCCTCAAGTTGGAGTGTATGTTAATGACACCCAACTTGCTGAGTAATGTCTCAAACTGTGTCGAACTCAATGGTTTGGTGAATATGTCAGCGGGCTGATCAGTTGTTCGTATGTAAGCTGTACGTATCATCCCTCCTTGAACTTTCTCTCTTACCAGATGACAATCGATCTCTATATGCTTTGTGCGTTCATGGAATACAGGATTCGAAGCAATATGTAGTGCCGCTTGATTGTCACAAAATAACGTGACTGGTTGTGGGTGACTCACCTTCAAATCTTTCAAGATATTCTTCAACCATGTAATTTCGCAACATGTAGTGGCCATGGAACGGTACTCGGCCTCTGCACTGGAGCGAGATACAGTAGTTTGTTTCTTTGTTTTCCAGGAAATCGATGCTTAACCAAGAAAAACACAATAACCTGTTATCGACCTCCTGGTATCCTTACATCTAGCCCAGTCGGCATCGCAAAATGCCTTCAATTGTAATGTGCCAGTAGAGGGCAGGAGGATACCTTGCCCAGGTGCTTTCTTGATGTATTTGAGGACCTTGTGTGCTGCCTCAAGATGTGGTTGTCGAGGTTTTTCCATGAATTGACTTAACATGTGAACCACATAGGCTAGATCAGGCCTTGTTATAGTTAGGTAGATTAGTCTACCTACAAGGCGTCTGTATGGAGATGCATCGTTGAGTAGCTTCCCTTCCGTTTGTGTTAGAGAGATGTTTTGATCAACTGGAAACCGTGAAGGTTTGGCGCCTAAAAACCCAGCATCCTCCAATATGTCCAATGCACTCAAGGTTGCTGGGTTCCACCAGTCATGCTCTGATTATTCATTGTTCGTCCGAAGTCATCAAGGTAATTTTATCGCCTTGTTGGTTTATGTTGATGATGTAATACTAGCAGGCAATAATTTGCAAGAAATCGAAGAGACCAAACAGTTCCTTTCCAAACGTTTTAAACTAAAGGACTTGGGCAAGCTCAAATATTTCTTAGGGATAGAGGTTGCTCGATCAAAACGTGGGATCACTCTATGCCAACGTAAATGCAGCGGAAATGTCTGAGGTGTGGTAGGGGAACTGATCTTCAAAAAAAATAACATCCCGTGACACAAAAACCTTTTGGAGGGTAAGATCAAATAATCTGTAACCTTTTTGACCATATGGATAACCAATGAAAATGCAACGACGTGCACGAGGGTCAAATTTGGAAGGCTTTTGTGCATGAGTTGAGGCAAAACACAAACATCCAAAAACTCGTAAGTGAGAATAGTTGGGTTCCTTGTGAAACAGTTGTTCATAGGGTGTTTTTCCATGGAGAATGGGTGTGGGTGTGCGATTTATGAGATAAGCAGAAGCTAAGATGGCATCCCCCCAAAAACGTTTAGGAAGGTTAGCTTGAAAAAGTAAGGCTCGAGCAACATTGAGCAAGTGTCGATGCTTACGTTCAGCGACACCATTTTGTTGTGGTGTGTTGACGCAACTAGTTTGATGAACAATTCCCTTGAGATTATAGAAAGTGGAAAGTTTGAACTCAGGACCATTGTCACTTCGAACCATTTTGACCTTAGCATTGAATTGATTTTCTACCATGTGGATGAATTGGACAAGAAATGTTGTTGTATCGGATTTGTGTTTCATCAAATAAAGCCAGGTGCTCCTAGTGTAATCGTCAACAATGGTGAGAAAATATTTTGCACCTAAAATGGAGGCAACTTGATAACCACCCCAAATATCAACATGGATTAACTCAAAACATGACTTGGTAGATATAGAACTCAATGAAAACGGTAATCTCGTTTGTTTGGCCAATGGACAAATGAAACATTTATTTGAATCACAAGATTTATTTTGGAAAAATGGAAATAACATAGAGACTTTATGTGATGGATGCCCAAGACGTTGGTGCCAAAGGTTAGAAGGTGGGGTTTTGACGGTGTTGCATGTTCCTTTCTTTGGTGGATCGAGATAATAAAGTCCCTCCCGTTCAATTCCCATCCCAATCATCTTCCCCGAGCGTAGGTCCTGCATGACACAAAATTGGTTTAGAAATATTGTGACGTATAATGAGTCATAGGCTAATTTGCTGATTGATATCAAGTTTAACGTAAAGAGTGGTACACACAAAACGTTATCAAGGACAAGGTTGGGAGAGAATACAACTTGTCCAATATGAGTGACTTTAGCAAATGAGCCATTTGGTAATTCAATGGTATGGTTGTCAACGGATCTGGAAGATGTGAGGGAACAAGGATTGCAAACGATATGGTCTGTGGCCCCACTATCCAAAATCCACACATTTTTCTTGCCATTACGTGTGAAAGAAAAAGCTTTACCTGAAAGATCTTCATGATTTGAAGAATTACCCACTTGGTTAGCAAAAGATGATTTGTTCTTGCTCAGCATCTGGAGAATTTGCTCACAATCCTCCTGAGAAAAAGGAAAGTTAGGCATCACTTTCCTTTTGTCGTGAGTTGCAACTTGATTGCCTTTGGAGGAGAAAGGTCGACTTTGTTCACTCTCAGCAGCTGCTTTCCTCTTACGACAAAAATCATAAGAGTGACCCTTCCATCCACAGAAGGTACATTTGAGATGAGCACGACAATTTTTAGTATTGTGATTCATCTTGTTGCACTTCCCACATCGAAGTGCACCGTCTTCTGATTCGACTTCGCGGCTAGTTGTTTTCACGGTGAATGCCGCAGCTTCTGTTTGGGAAATATTGTTGTTTCCACTGGAAACTTCCGCCTGTCGCTCATGGCGGAGAACCAATGAGTAGGCTTTGTTTACTGTGGGCAATGGCTCAAGGAGAAGAGTGTTGCTGCGAACGGTGGCATAAGAATCATTCAACCCCATGAGAAACTTCATGGTCTTTTGTGTTTCAACGTACGAAGCAATCTCCTTCTTTGTTTCACAACTACATGCCGGAATCGCACATAATACGTCTCGTTCATCCCAGAGACTTTTTAGTTTGGTGAAGTAGGAACTTACTGTCATGGTACCTTGTACGCAGCCGTGAATCTCATTCTCTATGTGAAATAGTTGGACGATGTTCACATGAGAGAATCTTTCCTGCAAGTCAAGCCACATTTGTCGAGCATCTTTGCAGTTGATGACGCTTCCTGAAATTTCCTTGGACATCGACCCTAAAAGCCATGTCTTCACCAGATTATTGCATCGGTTCCATTGATGCAATTCTTCAAGTTTGTCTTCGTGTGGCTTCTTGACTGTGCCATCGACGAGACCGAGCTTGTTCTTGACCGTTAATGCCATGGTCATGGACTCAGCCCATGTATTGTAATTGTCCTCCACCAATTGCTGCGGTACAAGGACTGCACCAGGCTGGTCCGAATGGTGAAGGTGGAGTGGATGGTTAGGGTTGTCCCATTTTAGGTGTGAGGTCATGCCTGAATAGGTTGACTGTGTTTCTGATTTTTCACCCATGGCTGCGTTGGCTAGGGTAGGGTTTGTGTTTTGCTTTATTCCCAGATCAGTACTCTGGTACCATCATAGAAAAGGTAATCTGCTGAATTCTTTTCTATATACGATAAAGATAGGGTTACAAATATATAAGGAGGCTGTGCAATCATAGTCCTATACTGATGCCTATAAACAAGGACAATCAGACTAAATAAGTAAGTGAATAACTACATATCAAATTACAATATTGACATAATCAATCTGAGATATCTTCCTTAACACGTGACATCCACAAAATTATGATTTTCATATATTTGCAAACCCACAAAATATGTGATAAATTGAATGACACACCGTGACCCGGAATGTCCACTAGGACTCCAAATCACGCTGTGTTGGCCGACACCTAGAAGGTGACGAAGCCATAAAGTGCAGTTATGAGGAAAATGTGAATAAATTTAAACCTAAGAGTGCCTAAATATCAAAGTGCGCTGGTGAGTGGGTATGCACCCACTTCACACGTGTCGTCAGAGCATAAGTAAAGTACAGTAGTGTGGGTAAAGATCATACCCTCAGAGGTAGCTATTTATACTAAGATTAGCCAAGAATCCTCGTCGATACGAACTTTCAACAGCTAAAACCTGGAGGAGCGCAAAATAGAAAATGTGATTGGGTAAAAACAAAGCTTTAAAAAAAAAACTATTTATCTTTCCAAAAGTAATAACCCCTCACCGTAAAACCTGTATAATTTCTCCGAAAATAATACTATAAACATATATAAGAACTATGCTTGAGAGGAGTGAAACCAGGTGTATGCCATGTTAATCATCTCAACAACGGATAAGTAAGCCAGGTGAAATGAATCAATATAAAATGACATATCAGTCGGAGTCACCTAACGTGTCCTGTACGGTTGAGTCCATAGCTCATCAATCAAATCCTGCACACAAGTCGGAACCACTTAATGTGGTCTGTACGACAGGCTAGGTGTAAATAAATACGCTCAATTGCTACGATCATGTGAAGGCTGTGCGAAGTATCGCAAGTCACCTATGAGTCGGAACCACCAAATGTGATATGTACGACAGGCTGGCACCTACCTTGGATCCAAGGTGAGCATGTGGTGCGGGAGGTGAACGATCACATGAAGGCTAGGCCATGGCCTCAGGCGAAGCACTAATGCCCGGGTGCAGGATATTAATCACTAAATGCCACTCATCATAATCATACACACTACCATCATTACCACTAACATCATAATGTACTCACCTGTAGCTTACCTGGGCCTCCGCATCATCATGCAACATTATGCATAACTACACTAATGGATATACTAAAATATAATGCAAGTATGACATGTCATTTCAATCACATTTCATTTAAAACAATTTCTGGGAAAAACGTAAAGCATACATACGTTTATATAGAAAACCAAAAGCCTACTCACCTAGAGCCCGGGCTACAATTCCCTAGCACAAACTTCCAGGCATCACGAACAATCGACGCTTAGAACAATTATCAAATCACATCTCTGAATTTTTACTGATAGAACACGTAATTTACATAAAACACATCCCTAAGGATGATCTAGAATGATTTGAGACCCATTGACCAAAAGTCAACTGTCGGTCAAATATCGACGGTAGGGTCCACAACCTTACGTAACTCGATTCGGGAGATACACATATCAGATTTCTGATCCGTAGATTCCAAAGATCCACATTATGTTTCTAGAATAACATACTAAAGTTTTGGAACAATCCAACAGTCAGATCTCCGCCAATTCCCAAAACCAAGTGGCGGTTAACGTTTTATTTTATGAACTTACAAATCTAATCCAGGAAGATCCGTACTTCGGATTCCCAATCCATAAGTTCCTACATTCCTCAAATATTACGAATACTAATTTATTAAATTTTGATGACAATTCAACGATCGGATCATCGATTTGTATAATGTCCTATCAACGTATCGAAGAGAATTTAGGTTCGAAACATCAACCTACATCATACGATTATCAGAACTGAACTCAAGGCATCCAATTTAACCTAAAAATAGCATTGACGGCCTTCTGGCCACACGCCGCCGCACGCGTCGTCGTGGGTGGCGATCGACCGCCCTAACTTGTTGGAAAATCCAACTATTTCCAAAAATTACCAAAATTTATAAAAATGAAGATCTCAACAAGTAGAGAAAGTTTTATACCTGTGGGCAAGTCCAATTTGGGCAGGAAGTGCTCCAATTCATCTCGAATTTGCCGTAACCCTAATATGGGAGTTCTTCAAATCGTTGCCAAATCGAACCCCAACGTCCCAATGAATGATTGGTCATGATTCCTGGGTTAAAGGGAAGTATTTTGGTGTGTTTGATCGACATTGATGGTTGCACGAACGGTGGATCACCACCGTGACATTAATATATCCCCAACTTTAAACATTAATATATCCTTCGTTATAACTCCAAATTGCGTTTCGTTTGCGCCCACGCATTCGTAGCGATGAGTACTATGAGGATATGCCAAAAAAACAAGTCTTACATAACACGACAAGGTGGTCAAACAAAGTCAGCGCATTTGCCTCAAAGGGCATTTTCATAAAATCATAATTTTAAAATTTATAAAAATGTAAAATCAGGGACGGTCTTCACATTGAAAATTAAAAAAAATAAATTTAATAAACCAAATAAATTTATTCTTTATTTGGAGAAACAGAGACTTACCGTGGAATAAAAAATCGTTGACGGTCCAAATATAGGAAAGAGGAAACAACATTTGGGATATGGGAGAGAGAAAGTGTTGGAGTTTGGGGGAGGAAAAAAGGAGGGATTTTGGGGGAAAGAGAAGGATGAGAGGAAATGAGGAGAGAATGGTGTGGATATAGGATTTAATTGAATCACATGAGTCCTTGCGCGAGAAAACCTTTGTCGTCTAAAAGTTTCTTCTTTGTCACTTTTTATTTTTTTTGCCATTATTATCTCACCGACCATTTCATAGACTTTGCGCAATGTAGCCTAAAGGTTTTTCATCGCGCAAGTCTTCTAGGGCGACAAAGGATGTCATCGCATAAGAAATTCATTTGTTGCAAATAAAAATGGTGCCAATTCCTTCTTTCACCGCGAACTTTTTCAGAGTTTGAGAGACAGATAATTTACATCATCAGGGCAACCATCTATTGTGCGATGAATACAATCATTGGGTAAACACTACTACAAAATTGGCTTATTGTGTCGGTTAGTGGTGGCGGTAGGAAGGCTTTAGTATTTGTAGCTAAGAGTTGAAGGCTTGGTTGTTGAATAGCAATTGGTTTTGTGTTGAAAAGCAGTTTGGGTTGATTGAAGAATCATCCAAAGGTTTTTGTATAATCTGAAAAGATTGAATTTGACAAATGTCTCAAGCTTGAAGGCCCCATAGTAGGCCTTTTTATTTATGGCCCAAACATTGTGATTGGATAGTCAATATTGTTCATTTCATTAAGGGTAAATTACACTTTACCACCTCAAGTTTAAGGTTTATTGCAACCTCATATAACATCTTCAAAACATTTCACTTTCATACCTAAAGTACTATTTTATTTCAATATAATACATCCGTTACATTTTCCATTTATTGATTCATTAAGAGCTGACATGACTGTTACATTTTTACCACGTGACTGCCAAAGTTATGCTATATGGCAAAAAAATAATTTTTTCTGCATTTAAAATAATATAATAATTTACTATATTATTAAAAAAAAAAAAAAAAAAAACTGAGAATCCATTCCCCCGACCCACCTCCCTTTCCTCCCCTCTTTTCAAGTCCTCTCCCATCCAAAAACCCACCCCATCCCACCCCTACCTCCCCCCTTCTCTGCTCAGCTCCGGCTCATGTCTGATCTCGGAACCATCATCAACCTTGCCGTTAAGCAAGTCCATAAATTCTGCCCTAAATCTACGGTTCCCACAACTCGAACCACACTTCCCGCAAATAGATCGACAACTCCTGCAACTAAATCTACAGTTCTCTCAAGATCCTCTACACCATCAGGGTGCGTTTGTTTGAGCTCCTTAACCCTCACTGGACTGGATTGGACTACACATTAGTGTAGTCCTGTGCTTGTTACTTACACGGACTAAGTTTAATGGGATAAAGCCGGACTCGCGTGGACTATATCCGTCACTAGGAGGTCTTAGCGAGACCCCCCAAATACCATGGGATTGCTAAGACCTCGTCTGCTCGGTTCGCCAACATCACCTACACCCACCAACCAAGAACTGCAGAGAACCTAGAATCCAGAATCAAGTCATCTCGTTTCGAATCGTGGAGAACCCAGAATTGCCAGTTCTTCGTCTGCTCGTTTCGAATCGCGGAGAACCCAAAGCCCAGAACCCAGATCTTTGTCTGATGAGCTTGGCTATTCCCTTCTCTCTCTAGAAATGGACGGTTTCTCTCTCTCCCTCACCATCAACACTACCCTTTTCTTTCTCACTCGCACTCGTCTTCTTCCTTCACTTTCTTGCACAACCCAAAACTTCCCTCTAAGGATCAAGAAATGGGTTGTTTTCAGTTCCAGGGAGGAGCCAAAGCTCGACCCTTTGGACCAAATGGAGCTCAAGTTCGTCGATTTGCAGATCCGATGATTGACGAAGCTTCTGCAAATTGAAAAAAAAATTTGGGGATTTTTCTGGGTTTGATTTGAGGAGAAAAGTAAATTAAAAGAAGATAAATATGGGTTTGAATTCAAGAGAAAGTAAATGAAAAGAAGAGAAGATATGGGTTTTATTTTTTCTGGTTTGAGTTTAGCAAATCTGGGCGTGAAGAACCAGAGCAAATGAACAAAGAAAAAAAGAGACAGGGGAGAGAGAGTCAAATAAAAATAGGTGTAATTTGTTTATTTTTTTAAGATAAAAAAATGTATTAATAATAGTAAAATATTTTAGTCCGTGATTTAGTCCGATAGTACACCAAACATTTCATTATTCTTATCCAGCTTAGTCCAAGCCAAGACAGTCTAGCTTAGTCCCGGAAGTTAGTCCAGTCCGAAATAGTCCGATGCAACAAACGCACCCTCAAGGTCTACGGCAAGATCTTCAACACCAACTTCCAGACCCACTGTACCCCCACCCAAGCCTACATTAAGAGCATCAACATCAACTCGTCGACCGTACATGCCATCCCCTACACCTAGTATATCAACTCCTCCATCAAAGTCCTCACATTCAATTTCCAATCCAGCTCCTCAAATTCCTATCAAATCCAATAAAAAATGCTGAACTGCATTTGAGTTTTTGCAGGGTTGCAGCGCCAGCCCTCTGTCTGATGGTGATGGAAGTTCTTCCTCCTTCCCGTCGCCGAGAAGGTGAAGAACGAAGGTGAGAAGGGATAGATGCTGCAGGCCATGGCGACCCAGCTGGACGGCGGCGGCGGGCTTGGGCTGGGCCTTCTAGGCCCGGTAGTGGTGGTGGGAGGTGAGGTAGAGGGAGAGGAGGAAGAGGGTGATTATAGAGGAAGTGTGTCTGATTTGGGGGTGGGCTCGGGTGGCGATAAGGGGGCGGGGAAGTCGAAGGGGAAAACTGGTTTTTTTTTTTTTTTTTTTTTACTTTTCTTTAATTAATTATTTTAATATTTTAAATATTTTATTAAGTGTTTAACCACGTCGCATAAATATGATAGTTACGTCAGCACAAATAGGAACTTCATATTTGCCACGTCATCACTTAACGGATTTTTTAACGGATGTATGAAATTGAAATAAAATGATAAATAAATGTATGAAATTGAAATGTTTTAAAGATGTTATAAGGAATTGAAATTGATTCTAAACCTGAGAGATTAAAATGTAATTTACCCTTTCATTAATGTACCTGAATATATATCGGGAAAATCATCACATAATCTGAATGTGAAATCCCCTTTTATAAATTCAAACTCTTCATTCCCAGTCAATATAATTATGAACATATTGACGCATGGACCAATATCTTCCTCTATCAAACAGAGGATTCAAGTCACTCTACTTAGCATTTCATCCACTCATGAGCAAATATTACAATTAATTTAAAGTTTGATCATAAATTTTAGGTTTGTATCCTTAAGCCAGTTGGAAGTTACCAGGACAGAGGAACACACCCAATCGAGCCACCATCAAACTATCAAAGCTTATGGGCAACATAACCGAGAAACAAAATGTCTCTGAAATCCTCTCAAGGGTGAAGATTGAACCGGAGGGGAAAATCATGACGGTGGAAATTGAAAGTGCTATACACAAAGGTCCCAACAATAAGGTACCAAAACTTCAGTGCCAGTTCAACAGAGTAGTGTTACCCTCACCATATTTTTCATACAATAGCTTTTTTAGGTCCAAAATGGTCCTTCCCTCTGCTTGTCTTCTCGACTGGAATAAAAAATGGGCTATCTCCTCTTTAACTATATTTTCTATAGGTGGAACTACAATGAGCAGTCTAAACTTCGATTCGACCCCTATTTATTTCTTTCTTCAAAAAATATTTGTACCACCTCGCTAACCGAGTAGAGCCCACCAACACATGTTGATTACATCTTTATTAGAGAGTGGTATGAAAAGTATTATAAGAGTAGCATTTTTGTTCAACAAGGAAGACTGGATGACTGAATTGGTTGAGGTCACTCTTTGCAGTTATCACAACTGAACGCAGTTTATAGACTGGCCCCTCCCATTCAAGCAATCATCACGATACTTATGCCCCGCCAAACCAGTATTAAGAGCTCTCCTAGCTAGTATTGCTACTACACACACATACACACACACATATATGTATATATATTAGTTCTATTCAGAGCCAACATGTTGGTTTATATTGAATAATACAGAAGTAACAGAAAGATATCGGTCTATAATGAAGTTCAGAAATTGGGGGTGAATGGGAAGCTGTGTTAGGGTGTTTGCGGATGTGGTGTTGGTCTTTGAGGATGTTTGTCGAAGAAATGTGGTGAGCTAGTTGTATTCAGAACCAACATGTTCGTTTATAAATAATAATACAGAAGAGACAAAAAGATATTGGTTTATTGAAAAAATTGACTTAATTAATTAAAAGTCATGTATGAATATGTGAATTTTCCTTTCTTAGTTGTGATTCTTAGTTAATTGAAACCATGTGATGTTACACGCTGATCCATATACAAATATCATGTATATTTGCCTTCCTTTGTAAATTTAACGTAGAATTAGAAAAAGTTGATTGGTTATTTGTGTATCAATAAGAAAATTAAAAATAGTAAAATTTGAACATATGATCCTCCGTAAAAATCGAAACTGATTGGATCGTCCTGTTTTCTTTGGTAGCTATATATGTTGTGGTTGTGGAACTCCAAGTTTATTTAGTACTGTTGGATTTTGGCATCTTAGTAGTAAATATGTTAAGTAATTGAACCGCTGATCTACCAGGCCTTGTGGACTTGGAGTTTGATTTAGTTTGTCTCTCCAACTGGTCGTGTTCTTTCCTGTGAACATAGAGGTGTGAAGCTTTCATGTGGAACAAGACAACCGAAATGTCCCAGGTGCGTGAAAGTGAAACTCCTGAAGATAGGGTTGTCGAAATTCTATCCAGGTTGCCGCCCAAGTCTCTGATGCGATTCAAATGCATACGCAACTCTTGGTGCACTCTCATTAATAGGCCAAGTTTTATGACCAAACACCTCAGCAATTCCGTGGACAACAAACTCTCATCCTCCACTTGTATCCTATTCAATCGTTCTCAGGCTCAAGTTTTCCCGGACAAGAGTTGGAAACAAGAAATTTTCTGGTCCATGATTAATCTTTCAATTGACAGTGATGAGCACAGCCTTCATTATGATGTTGAGGATCTAAATATACCGTTTCCATTGGAAGATCATGATTTTGTACAGATTTACGGTTATTGCAATGGGATTGTCTGTGTAACAGCAGGGAAAAATGGTCTTTTATGCAATCCTGCCACGGGGGAATTTAGGCAACTTCCCGATTCATACCTTCTTCTACCTTCCCCTCCCAAGGGAAAATTCGAATTGGAAACGAGATGTCGAGCATTGGGGTTTGGCTATGATTGCAAAGCTAAACAATACAAGGTTGTGCAAATTATAGAAAATTGTGAGTATTCAGATGATGAGCGAACATATTATCATCGTATTGCTCATCCTCATACGGCTGAGGTATACACCACAACTGCTAACTCTTGGAAAGAGATCAAGATTGATATATCAAGTAAAACCTATCATTGTTCTTGTCCAGTGTACTTGAAGGGATTTTGTTATTGGTATGCAACGGATGGCGAGGAATACGTACTTTCATTTGATTTAGGTGATGAGATATTTCATAGAATACAATTGCCTTATAGGAGAGAAAACAGTCTTAAGTTTTATTATATTTTTCTTCGTAATGAATCTCTTGCTTCTTTTTGCTCTCGTTACAATCAAAGTGGTGATTCTTTATTATCTGAAATATGGGTAATGAACGACTATGACGGAGTTAAGAGTTCATGGACAAAACTCCTAACTGTTGGACCCTTACAAGGCATTGAGAAGCCATTGACATTTTGGAAAACTGACGAGCTTCTTATGCTTGCCTCCGATGGAAGAGCCACCACTTACAATTCTTGCATTGGAAATCTCAAGTATCTTCATATTCCTCCTATTCTCAATAGGGTTGTAGATTTCCAAGCTCTTACTTATTTGAAAAGTATTGTTCCACTCAAGTGAGTTGAGGGAAAAGTTCCATTTTCTCCAATTTAATATGCATGCGCATGATATAAGGTTTGAGTTTGCATCTTTTAATTTAGTTTTGTTTTTTGGCCTTTGTACTATGTTTGCTCATCACGGGTTGCCTTTAGTTTTTGTGCTTTTCACATTTTGTAATGTTATTCTATTTGAAAGTGTATGATAAATAATTTTCTTTAGAGTTAGTAATAATAACAATTCTCTTGTGTTTTCCTTTTGTTTTTTCGTCTGAATATCCTGCTTAAAACCTACTAAATTTTTAGTCATTTAACATAATAAAGTTAAACCTTCTAGTGTAGTAGGACTGTAAACATTGGTAAGTAAAATCCGGGGTGCTAAAAAATTTAGGCAACAAAGAATATTTATAACCTATTAGCCCCTAACTCTAGTTCGTAAAATAAGGAACGGGTATTGTATGTGAAAAATACATATGTTTATTATTTGACAACTTCGCTAAAACTACGAAAAATATATTAGTTCATATTAAAATATATGCTGGATACGTGGATTTTATATGCATTATTGAAAAATGTGTGATAATAACGTCTAACGTGAAATGGTTGTTGCAATTGGCAATGTTTTTATTGTTTTTCTTAAGCCAGAAGGGGGATGCATATTAGATCTCAGTTTTTTGGAAAGCAGAAAATATTGTGCGACTGCGGAAGAATCAAACACTAAACTTTGGGTGAATAGTTAGTACTTTTAACTATTTGAGCCACTAGCCCGTTGCGGAGTTTTGGAAAATATGCTTTTGTTAGTAACTATAGAGGGAAAGCAAGTAAAAGGAGGCCTTTAGTTAACCCTAACTAGCAGTGGGGGAGGGTGTATGCAAATTTGCTAGAATCATGGTATTTCAAGGGTTCTTCTATCCCTTCTAATTAGATCTGGCGATTTCTTGTTAACCATGTTAACATGACACGTAAACGACAAGAAAATAACGATTTTGGGTTAACATTGAAACACCCCAACCCGGAAAGTCCACTTGGACTCCAAATCGAGTTGTGATGCCGACATGCGGAAGGTGATGAAGCCATAAAATGTAGTCATGAGGTGGAAAATGTGAATAAATTTAAACCTAAAAGTGCTTAAATGCAAGAGTGCACATGTAAGCGGGAATGAACCCATTTCACATGTGATGTTAGAGCATAAGTAAAGTAAAATAAAAATAGAATGAGAATTATACCATCGAAGGTAATCTCCTATACCAAGATTTGCCAAGAATCCTTGTTGATATAGAAGCTCTGCCACTAAAACCTGGAGGGGCGTAAAACAAGGGTGAGTGGGCTTAAAAATAAAGGTTTTTCAAAACTTTTTCGAAAATGTAATAGCCTCTCACCGTAAAACAAGAATAGTTTCCAAATATACAACATATAGCATAAAACACTTACTGTAAACAATAATACTTTAGAAGTACGGTAAGTCAGAGTATTTCACATATAAAACATATAACATCCAATAATCACACTATTTTGCATAAACAAACATATAATATCGAGTGCTCATCAATATATGCTGACACATGAGCTCATGCAGAAATATTCTGACATGAATAGGACTGAGTGTAATAATGATTTACGCTTTAGTACTACAATTACGTGAAGACTGGCACTAAGCATGTCACACACGAATCCTAATTGCCTATAGCAATCTAGGGCAAGACTGACACTTACAATGGATCCAAAGTGAGCGTACGGTCTGCTGTGAACATACACGTGAAGACTAGCCTTGGCTCGGGTAAGTACTAACATCAGTGTAGCACGCGATGAGCAGATAACGTAAATGTGATCATGTAATGGTAAGTCGATAATTTGATAATTCTAATCAATGAAATACTATTCATGACCGTAAATACAAATAAGGCATCCATAATAATACACATATGCACATCCCATAGGACATAGCAAAAAATTCATAAATTTTGTCAATACGCTAATTCTTATACATGTTAATCTAACCACGACAGAGCGTAGAAAAATTCTTTTTCAAACATATAAATGGAAACCACAATATATATATATATATATATATATATATATAATATTTAAAAGCAAAGACCCACTCATAGACACTTGCGAAATTGTAGCCGTTCGAACGAGCAAATACGAATCGCCGATGCTAATCGTACCTAAGCATAATAGAGGCCCATTAGTAAAACTTAATTAAAATGTTTGAATTTGAAGAAAGGGATGGCGGATTTGGAATCAGTACGTCAAAATACGCTAAGAAGGGTCCCGAGAAATTTTTGTAAAAGTTAACCCAAAGTCAACGGTCAACCCCAAAAAGTCAATCGAATGGCCCCGACTGTTGACTACATTAAAACTTTACAATTTCACTAAATGGATGTCAAAAACAGACTCGGGGTATCGAAATTAGCCTAGGAGGGTGTTCGAGAAAATTTCGAAAAAAGTCAACTTAGGGAATATTGTAGGAATATTCTAGATCCATTTCGGAATTAGGCTGGGTCCGATTCAATTCGGATCTAGGTTTGGATCTTACGTTTATCATTTTTTTCTCTCCCATTTGGGCTTGCGGGTTGCTCCCGCCAGACCCAGTGAAGAAGAAGGTCCGTTTTTGGAAATTTTAGCCGAGAAAGTTCAAATAGCCATAACGGTTTCAAAACTCAACAAAAATCAAATATTTAAGAGCCAAAATGAAGTTAGGAAGACAAGGATTCGAAATATACTTAAATGGGACTAAGTCGTGACCGGAGTTGACCAAAAAATGGCTCAAAAGCCACTGGATGTCCATCGGAAAACTGGGAAACTTTCTCCCGCGGTGTTCTACATTCAAATAGTGCCAAAATATTTCAAAAACATGCTAATCATACTCCTAAACATAATTTACAAAGATTTGAAAAGCTTTAAAGCGTTATCTTTGCCGAAATATTTCAGGAAAATCGTGAACAGTGGTAGAGAGGCAAATATAACCTTGGCCTGGGTTTGAGCTTGGATTTGTGTCAAGGTTTTCCTAACTCGGGGTGGCCTGCGTTGTTCTCAATGAAAAATGGCAAAAGGGTGGTGGTGGTGGTGCTCCGACATGGTGAAGCTAAGAAAATGAAAGTTAGAGTGAAAGAGAAAGAGAGCCGGACGGGACGAGAGAGAGTCCCCGAAGTGTGTGGAAAGAAAATGCCACATGGAAGAGAGGGAGAGGTAAGTTTGGTTTGGGTGTGGGCCCCACGGCAAGAAAATTATTAAAATAATTTAAAACCTCCGTCGTAACTCCGATTTCGATTCCGTTTGCGCCCACGCGTTCGTAGCATCGAGTACTTCAAGAATACGATAAACTAATAGCTCATACGCATCAGCAAATGATTGTCAAGGAAAGTCAACAATCACGTCTCTAGGGGCATTTTTGTCAATTCACTCTTTTAAAATTAATAAAATCGTAAGATTAGGGACGAGTTGCTACAAACATGATAACTAATCGAGTTGTTATCGGATCACACGATAAGAACCCGTTAATAACGGGTCCGTTACAGGTTTACATGAGGGTGACACGTGGGTAACCCATTTCGACACGTTAAAAAAAATGCTATTTTGATGATTTTAATTTTTTAAACTAGTAAAAAAAACTTACTATAAAATACAATAGCCATAGTGTATATGTATATATTGAATATTAAATATGTATTATTATTATTATTATTATTATTATTATTATTATTATTATTATTATGTATAAATTAAAAAAAAATGAGTTCTATTTATAGGAAATTGCATTCTAATCCTTGGCAAAAATGACTTTTAGACTAAAACCATAAGTAAGATCAAAATCTAATTTTAGACCCATGATACATTAATTACCTCATTTATTAATTATATTTTAATGTTTTAATTATTTCTCTTTTTCTTCCTTATTTTAATGTATTAATTATATTTCATTATAATTATAATTTTCATTCCATTCATCGTAATCCTTTTTGTTGTAAACATTTAGATAACTAATTTTTGTTATACAATATATTTTGATATTTCATTTAGGTACATTAAATTCATTATAATACATTTCGGTGCATACATTTAAGTACATACATTTCGGTACATATATATTTTGATACACGCACGTAGTTACATTAATTCAATATAATACATCTTAGAACATACATTTCAGTACTAACATTTTAGTGCATACATTTCGGTACACACACACACATTTAGGTCCATTAAATTTTTATAATACATTTAGGTACATACATTTTTGTACTAACATTTGGGTATATTAATTCAATATATTTCATTTTTCAATACTAACATTTCGGTACATATATTTAGGTACATTAATTGAGTCTTTCAAATTTGAAGAATGTTAAATAAAATTAATAAATTTTAAAAACTATTTTTTGGTAAATTTAAATATTTAATGGGAGGCATTAAATAAAATAAATATTAATTAATTTGAATTAAGGACACATTAAGAGGCTATAATCAATATCTAATCTTACACCAAGTTTTTATAAAATTTCAATCTTCTGTAAGGATTAAAGTTGAAAAACCCTTATTTATTTATTTTTATAATATACTATGTGTAACATCCCACATCGCCCAGGGGAGTGATCCTTATATGTATATCCCTACCTAGCACGAGGCCTTTTGGGAGCTCACTGGTTTCGGGTTCCGTAGGAACTCCGAAGTTAAGCGAGTAGCGCGCGAGAGCATTCCTAGGATGGGTGACCCACTGCGAAGTTGCTCGTGAGTTCCCAAAAACAAAACTGTGAGGGAATGGTAAGCGCAAAGTGGACAATATCGTGCTACGGTGGTGGAGTAGGCCCGGGAAGTGGTCCGCCCTGGGCCGTGATGTGACACTATGGGCAAAGAGTGATATTAAAATATTACAAAACAAATTAAAAAATTATAATAATTAATTTACAGGTGCGAAAAAGTGTGAAAAAAATAATATACAAATGTTCATGATCGCATCCTCTACGCTTTGAATATGTGTAAATCGTCGTTCAAATTTTTAAAACCATACAAACCCTTATGAAT